TCTATCTATCTATCTATCTATCTATCTATCTATCTATCTATCTATCTATCTATCTATCTATCTATCTATCTATCTATCTATCTATCTATACACAATTGACAATCAGTTTTGTATGTAAATCTTAGCAATGTCTAAATAAATGTGGTAGTATAATAAATTCCACCTAAGCTGCCTGTAAAATTGACTCTTCACCTTTGCTTTCACCACAGAAAATATTACACAGGAAAACCTGAAAATGTACAGGGCTGGTGGAAAAACACTGGCTTAAATTTAGCTGTTTAGGTGTTCTGATCCTGGCTGTTAGAGTTATATTATAAGTGACCAACGGACTGGAAAACTTACCGCAGAGATGTGCTCTCCACCCAGCAATTTACAACTGCAGTCCTTTCACTGCTGGACTCTCCACGCACAGTTATTCGAATGACAAATAGAAAATTGCTGCAGCACAGTCTTTTATTTTTTCCAGTCTTTATTTTAAAAGCCGACTGTTAACTATTTTGGGTGGCGATCTGGCTTTTATGCTGATATGATGACTGGACTGCAAAGACGTGCAAAGCTTTTAGCTCCATATGATTACTTTTGTTTTCATTTTCAAACTTGTGGACTTTAAACTCAGGCAGACTTAAACAACATCACTTGAGACAAGTGACAAACCTGAAACCAGTAACAGTAACTGGGTGCATCCCATGTAATCAGATGCGAAATGTTTGTAGAGTACCACTTCAGCTAACATTCTATATAACAGCTGTTTATATATCTACTACTACTACTACTACGCTAAGGTTTTATTGTTTAATTTTATGATACTTTATGGCACATTTATTCTGACGAAATATAATTACTATATCTGTTATACTGTGTTTTAGTACCCAGTACTAAAGGACTTTACTTGAGCAGATATTTTCCATTTTATTACTTTACCTCAGAGGAAAATATTGTACATCTTAATCAAGTATTTTTGTCTTACAGCTTTCGTTGCTTTCATTTTGAACACCTTTCCCGACCAAACTTTTAATTTCCTCTTTCTCTGAGCTCATGAAAAACTACATGTGGTTCTCACAGGACAGCACTAAAGCAATGTCACAGAATCTGATCTATTGGAGTAGGTGATATAATTTCCTCAGGGATTAATAAAGTATTCAGATTCAGATGAATTCCTTAACAATAACGATAATAAACATTTTAAAATGCTATAGACACTTTAACTTTGGCTACCACTGTTACAAAATTGTTGATTTATTCTTATACCTTTAGATAAATATGGTATTGAAATTTGCACAGAGTGGTGTGCAAATGAATTTAATGAGTACTTCCTCCATCACTGCACTTCTTGCAAATCAGTGTCATCTTGAACTATATGATGACCCTGCTGTTATATAAGTCTAATACTGAATGTCAAACCTGTGAGAGCTCGTGCTCATTGCACAGTAATACACACATTTCCCTCGGCTGTGTCCCTGCTGCACAATATGAGTCATAAAGGTGAAAAAAAAAAAAAAAACCCAACATTGCTTAAAGGAGCTGTAGCCAGTGAAATGATTAAGTTTCACACTTTCTGTATGCTGAGCGATGGGGCAAGATATTGGCATGGCAGCATAATATGTTGCTTCCTATTGCATTACTTTATGGAGGCACTGCTGCCATTTTTTTTTTAAATTTAAAATAAACAGGCAACCTAACAGGTTACACCCCCATCCTTACCCACCCACACCACCACCACCCCCACCAATTTAAGGTCCTCCCTAGTTCAAGATTCCTTTTAAAAAGATATCAACAAAAAGAGGGCAAACACTTCAACAAAGAAAATTCATAATTTGCTTTGATATAATTCATACATTATATCATGAGTGCAATGCAAATGCTTTATTGCAATTGTGTAATGATAAGGACTGTTTCCTGATAGCACTGAGTTCTTCTGGGAGTACCACTATTATTTGCAATGATCTTGGAACCCAGCTTAATCTACTTCTGCCTATCTGGGTGCTTATTCTGACATCTAAATCACTCAACTGTGGATTAAAAAAAAAAAAAAGCAACATTATGTTGTTCATTAACCTTAAGAGGAGTATTTTTTTTAATTCCTGTAATTTTTTTGTGCCATTGTTCATTATATATATATATCATATTATCTTTAATGAATGTGAATTAATGTAATAGAAACTAAAAACAACAGCAACCGAATGAAATATGCGCTCATCAGTTAATTTATATTTTAATTTTTAAAAAAATGTGTATTTATATGTTACTGCACTTAGTTAAAATGCAGAATTACCATTTCCAGGCACTAAGCTTTCCCCCCGAAGCTGTTTACCCATACATGAAAAAAAACACAGGCACATGTCAGCATCCTTGTCTCGGTGGTGATCGTTGTTTCCACTACACTGCGCTTTGTGTGATGGAGGCGTGAGCAGCGACAAAGACAGTAGGAGGAAACAGTGGCCTGTATGAGGGGTGATTAGTGCCCCAGGGCCTGATAGGAAAAGAGGAGAAGTGGTTCCCAGAATACCCACTCTGCCTAATGGAGTTAGTGGCATGTGTAATGACGCGTCGTCGTCAGATTGCGGCAGTGTTCAGAAGACAAAAAGCAGGCTGTTCTCTTTTCCCAAGCAGCATGCCTGTTATCAGCGCTGCAAAATCTTATTCCCTGTGGGGGAAAGCATAGGATATTAACGACAAAGGTCCCTTTAAGTGCAGCATTTCCTAAACATTATATGTGTAACTAATTTAGTGAACACTTTTTTTTTTTTTTAAATGTGACCACAGTGGTGTGGTTGGCAAACTGTTATGGAAACATGGACAAAAACACAGTAACACAGACAACCACATCTGCATTTGAAAACATGATTTCAGATTCTTATTGCATACTAGCGAATAGGGTCAAGTGTGGCATTGACTCCTCAGTTCAGTAGCATTTGACAGTGTCTCATTGGGCTCTTTCTGCGAGTACTTTTCTAGATTTTCTAATGTGTTTTTTGGACCTAGCATTTTATTGATAATAAAAATAATACAAACTAAAGTATTTATAAAATATTTTTATAAAAAATGATACATATGCTAAGGCTCATTTCTAGTTGTCATTGGCCAAAACTGCTCGATGTCTAACGCAGATGCCTCGGGATACATATTTACTGTTTACAGATGACACGCTACTGGCTTCATGGAGCGAAGACCTTCAGCTCGTACTGGATTGGTTTGCAGCTGAGTGTGAAGTGGCTGGGATGAGATTTAAAGAGGCTTTGATTCTCAGCTGGGAATGAGTGGAAACAGCATCCTAAGCTGGGAATGAGTCGTTGCCCCAAGTGGAGGAGTCTCAAGATTTTGTTCAGGAGTGATGAAAAAGTGGAGAAGTAGATTTACAGTTGGACCGCCTCAATGCAAATCTGTTGTGGTGAAGACGGAGCTGATTTCTGTAATATTTGTTGTCTGTAGTTATTAATTTACTTGTTTACACACTGCCTGATTCTGTTGTGTTACAAAGAAATATGGCCAACAGGCGATGCAGCACACCCTCTGGTGGACAAACTATGCAATCTCAACACTCATGGAATGCTTCTTCCATCTCTTCTTTACTTTTCAATTTTTAATTTATCAGCTGTTATAAATACCATGTCAATAGATAATTGACAAATATCTACCACTGGTCAGTAATATCAGCCAACTGATTAATCAGCGGGGTTTAGTTTCTAGCCTAAACACTGGTGACTCGTGGGTCTGGGTGTCTTCTTGAACTGTAGCCCCCTGAAGATAAACGGTAAAATTAGTATTTATTGATATTTAACCAAAAGAAATAAAAAGTACAATTCAATTTTCAAATGATACAGAAAGATTTTGGAATTAAGTGCCAACCTCTATTATGTATCTTTATCTTTGTAGATGTTTATCACAACTTATATACTTGACTAGAGTCACGATTTTCTAGATACGATTTCGTAGAGTTTTTCTAATTAAAGAATACAAGCTAATATACAAATCACTTTTAATTTTTTTATTTACATTTTTATTACCACTGCTTTCCTGTGGGCTGTGGTTGATGGTTGAGTGCTTTGCTAAAAACATGGCAAATAAGTTCTGCCACTCCAAAAGCTTTACATGGATCCAGCACTTCTTCTTATCAAAATCCCTTATAATCTGGATCCATTCATTCCCATTAACAGCCCCCACCCCACCCCGCTCGCACTTCTCCTGGCTTCTTGTGGCATTAATCACACCACATACAGAGGGTACACTCCGCGCGGTGAAAGCTATGACTCCATGTCTGTGTATGAGGGAGGATGCTCAGAGCGAACCCATCCTTCCCAGACGCCAGTGTGAAGTAACAGTCTGCGCGTTGTTCTCCGCTCTGGATGGTACTGGGATGCATTTTGGAAGAGGGGTCGGGCAGCAGCGACCCACCAGCATCCGAGCCTGACATGAATCACAAGTAAAAGAGCTCTTTCAAGCAAGTGAAGAGCACATGAATGTGCACAAGTCCGCCGAGCTGCACTCGGGCTTCTCACAGCGACATTTTGGACCTTTTGGACCTACCTCGATTTGTTTGTAAATACTCAAACCAATCACAGAAGACTTTAGATGGTCACTGAATCAAGCCTATTTTAATATCTTTTCTAATCTTCTTTCTATTTGTTTTTTTTTTAACGTTTTGGGTGGGGAGTTTGGTTTGTGGGGAGTGTGTGTGCGTGGGATTTTTTTTTCTTTTGTCAAGCGCGAAGACAAACTTCTACCATGGCACTGGTTATGGAGCCCGTGAGCAAGTGGAGCTCTAGTCAGGTGGTTGACTGGATGAAAGGTAAGGCATCAGACGCGATGACCATTAAACTGCTGCGCTGCAGTGAATCGCATGTGTGGTGTTGCGCTGAAATGCATTTCAACACAGACTGACTCGAGATGCCAAAACACCTGCTGAGCCTCAGGGTTTCGCCTCGTCGCCTTGCAGCTTCGGGAAGCTTTTAATCACAGCCTTAAATCAGTTAATCGATCTTTTTTTTTCCCCAAGCACTTCTAGCTTGCAGACGTCTTGCCCCCCCACTCCTTTTAAAAAAGATGTTCTCAGATTCAAACAGCTCTACACGGAAAACCCGTCTATTGTGTCCTGCGGTGGTCATTGTTAACATAAGGCTGCCTCGCAGATCGTTGTAGCGGAGATCTAGTAATTACACACGAATGATTTCCCCTCTCGCTGGATCTGGGTGCAGAATCTGTGTGGAGGAGGAAAGAAAAAGAGGTTCGAGTTATTGACCAGGCTTTGCATGTGCACAGAATAAAAACAGAGCTGGGAGAGCAGTACACTATCAGAGCTTGTACAGCCATCTGTGATATGTTTATCCACAGATGCTCAAGTCATTAAGAAGTCACAGCTGACTTAGATGAGCTTCTAGTAGTTTCAAAACCTCCCAAGGGTACCTAAATCCTGAGGCCTATCATAAAGATTATTCACTCAAAAAAACAAAACAAAAAACAAACATAAAATCCCCACAAAAATCACTTAAATGCGAATCAAAACATTCCTCTTTTTTTTTTTTTTTTCATTTTTCAGGGATCCTCCAGCAGAATAATGAGGTTCAGTTTGGTGATGAAGCACTTTTAAGATTTTCTTCTTGAGAGAGAGAGACTGTGACATTTAGACTGAATTGAGGGCTGGAAAGGGGTTAGATAGACATACAGTTGTTGTTGCAATTAATTCATCATCCGCTAGTCTCAGTACAGCTGTCGGATGAGCGGCTCCTTTGAGGAAATTTGTCCGCTTATTCAGGCTCCAAAGATCTATAAATGTCCCAAACAGCTGTGGAGGATTTACTTCCACAGACTGTCAGGAATACTTTCAGGGCACAGATTTCTCATTAGCCATGCTGCTTTTTTGTCTGTTTGCATTACAAAGTTGGTACTTTGAGGGGAAATGTGATAGAAATGTAAGAGAAGACCTTAAACTCAGTGGGAGGACGCAATCTGCCTGTGTATTTGTCTTTTAACTCACATAAGCGCTCCTGCGATGTGTGTTGTTTTTCAAAGCCACGTGCTCACGTGTCAGGCAATGGCCTGTTTCAGATGAAACATACACATCCATAGGCCTGCATCTTTACCACCTCAACACACACACACGCACATATGCACATACACACAAGCGAGCATTATTATTCTAAGCCTGTAGGCCTTTTCTGCTGGCTCAGATATGTCATGATTGCAAGGATCAGACGGTTCTTAGTATGAGTTGTGTATTACAGATTGTACCTCAATCTGATGTGGCCTTATAAACAGGCTGTTTAGGAGTGGATGCTTGCTCAGAAAGGAAACAAGATCCATGTGCAGCTTTATTTATAGAGACACACAGGGATGATTAGACGCTGAGATGGGCTGAAATTGAATGTCCGCAATAGTTTTAAACGAGATCCAAGATGATCTGTAAATACGTTGTTGGCACAAGTGAGGTATGTAAAGAGCAAGGAGTGGAGATTGGAAACGAGAGAGGACTCTTCAGTGTCCCACATCTGACAAGTGGAGCAGAGACAGTTCTTGTGCCTAGAGCCCAGTAATGGTAATTTAAAGTGAGGGAGTGAGTGGCACAGAGAGACACTGAAACAGAGGAAACGATGGGGTGGAGGGGGTTTCATTCTTGTCTCGCATCCATTATCGAACCCGGAGGACTGGCAGCGTTTTGTCGTTAGCATTCACAGGTTCCATTATTACCATACCCGCTCCGTGATGTCACAGGAGGCCAAATAGGGGCACCCCGTGACCTTCCCACAGTCCCACTCTCCACCCCCTGTTAGTGTTTTGTGTGAGCTAGACGCTTTATTCCCAAGCTGCTTTAAAGAATAGATCCTCATCACAAAAGCGAAAAGAATTCCAGCTTGACTGGAAATTGGTTCTTACTAGGTGAAGGGTATCAGTGCAAACACATAAAATATGTGCATTTCAATGCAGTGTTGCACTTTGTACCGTCTGGGTGTTTTTAAAGTACAAACCTAACGCAGTCTTAGAATTATCTGCGCATGAACATATTTGTTGTCTTGCAAGGCATATCAGTTTTTATCTTTCAGTGCAAACCCTCACTGTCTTCTTGTCTAACACAGACGACGACAGCGATCAATGACAAGTCAGATCAACACAGATCCATAATAACAATGCTTAACCGCCCTAAAGAGCTCTCTCTCCTTACAATGCCAGTGGATTATCTAGAATGGAGATCATAACGTGTCAGCGCTGTGCTTTTAATTTCTCCTCGGCGTGCCTGATAATCTGACTGACATGCAAGAGACAGGAAAATTGATGTGGCTGAGATGTCTTTCCATTCCACCAAAAAGGGATTTCTATTGCACATTGTTCTTTTGCATAAGGCTTTCAGCAAAATATGAAACAAAACATGGCAGATTTCAATGGAAAAATAGAGAATAGAGACTATTAGTGCCATTTTGTGCCATGTTCCCCTTTTATTTATAGTAAAAATCATTTATACAGCACATATCCACAAGGTGCTTTATAATGTCATTTAGAAATGTGAAACGCTCTGGGAGTTTTTAAATGCTAAAGTAGCTGATAACTTCACCAGCTCAATATCTCATGCTAGCATGTAGTCACTTTTTGCAAACTATCATGTTCTCCCTTTTCTTATTTCTTTATATTACCCCACGGTCAGCGAGAACCCCTGCCAAAAAACCTGCTTTGTGGTTTCTATGGCAACATGGGGAATACTTCATTGACATGATGAGTCTCAATTAACTTGGTAAAGAGGCTCATTAGTTAAGCCTTTAAATGTTATGCAAAACCATGAAACTCCCTATGTTTCCTCTCGACCGTTTAGCTGCCAGCTAAACCTGATCTGAATGCTTGATGGGGTTGAAGCTTAGCACTGAGACACATGTATATGATTGGTCCACTGCAATAAAAACACAAGACGAGGAAAGAACTAACCCTGTGTGTGTTAAAGAGAAAGAGAGTGAAAAGGGAGAAATAGGGCCTGAGAAGATTAAATGCATAGGAAAAGCAATACAAAAGCTGCTCCCTTGTAGCTCATTTATTAATGTGTTTGCTTGATCTGAAAGTGAATAAAACATAAATGAGTAAATGAGTTTCTAGGAAGCCTGAGGCAGAAACATCAATTATCAAATCAAATTTCATATAGAAAATAAATCAAATTGTGGTTTAGTTTATGCAACATGATTCTACATGCTCGATTTGCAACATAATTTACATCATCGGGACACAGTGCAGCTTCTGAAGTAAATACTTTCATGCATTACAGAGACACGCCATCAATAACTGCGGCAGTCTCCTGATTCTTTTCAATGTTTAATGCTAACACCTCGAGGACCAGTGGGTTAAAGTTAGAGTTGCTTTTATGCACTCCTCTCCTAACCATTCAACCATATGATCAAGTCCTCAGATCAACCTTTCAAGTTCAAATCGCACTCCGGGGACACGCTGCCATATTAGATTATCACAAAAAAGTGACAGACTTAAAACAGTCTATACAAAAACTGGCAAAGATGATCTTCAGATCAAGCCTAGTTTTTTAGTTTAACTTTTCAAAAGTACTGGCCTAAGTATTAGCTAAACTGATAAACTGGAAGTGAGGTCTTACCTGCTCAATGCTTTGATCAATCAAAACCAAAACCAAGCGTGGTACGTGGACTCCAGAGCATGTTTGCAAATTTGTGGCTTTTACCATTATTTGGGACTCCAATAAGCAGATACCTCTTGAATTATTAGCCTTAAAACTAATTATGAGACCTTTCAACCTAACTGTAAGATCGTAAGGCAGTGGCAACATGTATTTTCTTCAGAACAGGTGTATGGACTTTGCAGTCCTTCCTTTGGTTGTTCGTGAAGAAAAATCACCACTGGGGATGTGCAATAAGCAAAAACACATTTTTCCAATCAGAGCTCACAGCCATGCTTTTAACATGATCAAAAGAAGTTGTCATGGGGACTGTTAGGTCCCCTTATCACCTACTGAACTGCTCGGCCCCCTCATCACGGCTTGAGGTATTTTTTGAAGGCTTTTCTTGGGATGCTTTGGTAACAGACTTTCTTTTTTTTTTGTAAGTTTTTGATTTACCCTGTGTATATACTTTTTAGAAAACAGTTTCTAGTCATACATTTCAGGGTGTCTGTTGACGCAGACAGAAGTTACAGAATCACTTAGTTTGTTTTCGTCTGCTGCGCTTCATCAACTTTTTCTCCAAAAGATTTCACACCTGCTGCAGTAGCTGGATATGTAAAACAACTCGAGCACACCTACATAGCTTCTTTCTAGCTGAAAGCGTTTTCTGGTTTGAAGCTGAAAATGCAGCTCAGAACTGTTGACGAGGGGGAGTGTGTCAGATTTCTTGTCTTGACACAGACTGCTTCACACTCGCACACAGCAAAATACAACCTGTGCTCACACTTTACAGATTTACAGCACATATTCTGGCAAAGCAAGTGATATCAAGTCCTGTTAGAATGCATAATGCAAACAGTGGTTTCACAAGAAATCTGAAAATCTGATGCAGTCTGCAAATAAAAATTCATGCTTTTGAGCTGTGCTGAAAGTTTTCTTGTCCTTTGTGTTCCCCCAAGGGCTGGATGACTGCCTGCAGCAGTACATCAAGACCTTTGAGAAGGAGAAAGTAGGGGGGGAGCAGCTGCTGCGTATCACCCACCAGGAGCTGGAAGATTTGGGAGTATCCAGAATTGGGCACCAGGAGCTGATACTGGAGGCTGTGGACTTACTCTGTGCTCTGGTGAGTCCAAGTTTCCCACACCATCTTCCCACTACTTTCTACTGTCACTTTGGAAAGTCAGTGCTGTCGGATGAAGTTTCTGTCGAACATTTGGCACCTCTGCAGCTCTGTGAAATCATTTAACAAGTCAGTGAAGATAACAAGTTACAGAATAAAGATATTTTCCAGTAAGCAGTTGATATATTTAGTAATGATGCAATTTCTATATTGTTATTATCACTGCAAAGACTGTCAGTTAACGAAATCAGTCATTCCAGGAATAAGTGGATGTAGATAGGATTGCTTTAGGCCCCAATTTTTAAACATCACAGCAAATCTACCAGAGTTACTAATCTGGCCAAAAGATCTTCCACAGGCAAATCTTACAACTGTCGTTAGTGTTGACATGGATTACTGCTTCATCTCGAAGAGATTTCTGCTCTTAGTTTCCCAAAACACAAGTTTTGTTAGTGTCAGCATGATAGATTGCTGTTCTGCTGATTTGGCTAATGTGCAGCTGGAGTAGCTGGAGCATAATATTTATTCTCCTTATAACATTCATTCTGGATGTTACTGCATACAGAGTGGAGACCTCGACTTGTTTCTAACACGAGAATGTAAGATTTAGGGGTCAGTCATGTAATGGCCAAATGAACGGCATTAAAATGAACGAATATATACTGCAATCATCAGAAGCATGCTACAGATTAAAAAATGCACTGGAAGCAGATTCTGGTCTCTGTGTGCAAATATGTTACATATAAAACTGGGGACTCATGAGCAAATATATCCCTGGAGCGTAAAGGGGCGATTCGGCAGCGGCACTAGCATGTCAGACGGAGAGATGGAAAGTTATGTAGCTTAAATAGACCACCAGATCAGGAAAGTATATTTGGTATATGACGCAAGGAGAGTGACGCAGAGCAGCTTGAGCTGTGTTTCTGAACTAGCTTGGAGGCTTTGCTTCATTTAAGGAACATTTTTTCTTAAATGGAGGTTTTCCCAGGATAGCTGTTCCCAAATGTTCTCTTTTGTCCGTCAATGTGAACATATTTTTAGACCCTACTTACTAAAAGTGTCCATATTGGTGCTTAAAATTTGCAGTGAAAATGTTACAATTTATTTACTCTGGAACACACGATTTGATTTATGAAGTAATTTATTATTGTTTTTTAATCTTTTACTCACTCTTAGATTATTTATAAAATAACTGTTTGATTGTTTGAAATAAGGGACAAATACCGTTAAGCAGTTTGTACTGATTATGTTGGGGTTTGGAAACTTTTCACTTTATATAACAGGAGCTACACGAAAGAACTATTTGGTGTTGGATTGGATGCTCAGTGGCTCAGGTGTCTAAGTGTGAATCATATAAATGCTTTGCATCTAATTGAGAATACTTACTCTGGCCATGCTGTCCAGTTTACCACAAGAGGAAATGAAAATGTAAAGTCTTTTTGTAAGGTGTCTTTAGCATCCAGCTAAATAATTTTCTCTCCTAATAATTTCCTTTATTTTGAGGTTTTTTTAATATTCACTTGCACATATAATTCCAGTATTTAATTCGAATTTTCTGTTTTTGAACCAAAGAAAGTTAGACTGCAGTAATATAAAAGTAAAAGATGGTAAATGATAAATGAGAAGCAGAAATAACAGAGACAAGGTGCAATAAAGTTGGACATGGGTTTGTGTTAACTCTTGAGATCTGTAGAAAAACTGGGTGGAGATTACCAGCCTAAGGTCACAGATGCAATCTGAATCTAAAGTCCACTCATCCTGCATCACTGCACAGGGGGCCCTGCTTCAGCCCTAAAGCTTCTTACGTAACTGGGATTTAGTTTTAAGTCTCTCAGGCACTGCTGTATTAAATATGATTAGTGGCCCTCCTGCTGCGCTCTCCCCTCCCAAGAAACCCATGACATGATAGCTGCCCATAGGCCTACACGTGCAGTTAGCCGCAAAGTGTAATGAGCGCTCAACGATGCTCAGGCGTGCAAAGTGACAGCTGATTTCACACATTTTCATCATATGTGGAGCCTTTCTGTTGTGGAGCGTGGTGGGCTGGTCGGCTGTAGTATTCCTATTCATAAAGTGCCATCAGAGAACAATTGGTTTCTATCTCCAGGCTGGGGATATTCTTGGAATGTGTCACAGTGAAAGCAAACACTGACAAACTGGTCAAACACAGTGAATTTACTTTCCTCTCCCCTCTAGAATTATGGGCTGGAGACTGAGAATCTCAAAACGCTTTCTCATAAGCTTAACGCATCTGCCAAGAACCTGCAGAATTTCATCACAGGCAGGCGGCGCAGTGGCCATTATGACGGCCGAGCCACCCGCAAGCTGCCCAACGACTTTCTAACTTCAGTGGTGGACCTCATTGCTGCTGCCAAAAGCCTTTTGGCGTGGCTTGACAGGTGAGATTTGCAAAAAGATGAATTTAAACATTTGGTAAGTCATGTGTAAACATGTGGACGCACACTGTGAAAAAGGGCCCCACAGAGCTGTGTAGATTCAGGTACTGGTCCCATTTACAACTACACACACAAACACATAAATACAGGTTCACATGGACACATATTTATATGCATACTGGGTATATTCTTGCATACATTTCCTTAGATTAGTCTTAGATGCAAACTTACAACCGTGCTAATTGCAAGCAAAAAGATATAATAATAATTTTAATTAATTATAAATATATAACTGACATCAAACAGGAATGAGACAGTCCTGTTTACATGCATTGGTACATGTAGTCTGATTTGGGATTTGTTTTTTTTAACAGATACAGACTGGTTTTGTTTTTCTATGTAATGTCCATGACCAATCATTTGACAAGAAAAGATGAGTAAAAGTCTTATATAAGTAGATTTTGACAGGGTGGCCAAAAAGACACCGAGAAAGTCTATTTATATGTCTCTTTATCCTTGCTTCCCTGTGGGATTGTGCCAGTCTGTGTGTTTGTGTCTGTTTGTGTTTGATGAATTTGGAAGTTCAAAGCTGACAACGTTCAGCAAAAATAACAAAGTGATTTGCTTTGCCTTTCCCCCATTATAGCTGACATGATTTACAGCATTCATCCCAATTAAAATTCACTAATCCGTGTTTCATTTCATGTTTGAAAATGCTTAATTGTTGACCAAATTGTACAAATAGAAACGTGGGAGTCGACGCTGCGTTTGTTGACAGTGGATAGGACGCACTTGTGAGGTTATTTGGAAAAAGCAGAACAGCAACTAATAATCTCTGCTCTACGTCAGCTGCTCTCGGCCTTAGGAGAAATGTGAATATTATTAAATGTGTTAAAAGCATTACAGACGTCACATTCCAAAATAAAAACCCCAAAACAGACTAACATAGGCAGAAATGTGAGGAATCCTAAAATGTAAAGGGAGAAATGCTGGTAAAAAAAATATGTAAAATTTACCAGTGACTGAGTCTCAAAGGAAGAATGATCTAATGGTTCATTCCAGGTGCTCTTTCTTTTTCAGATCTCCATTTGCAGCAGTGGCAGATTACTCTGTGACCAGAAACAATGTTATCCAGCTATGTCTTGAGCTCACTACAATTGTACAACAGGTAACAAATATGAAATGATTTATTGTATCATATCCTGTTGTACTGTATTACTTCATACTGTACAGACCAAACTTGGGATCATCACAAAGCCTCTGTCAGAAAAAAGGAAGCTGATCCATATTAAAGTATAACGGCAGAATTGGAAAAATACCTGGTTCTTTGGTAAATGTGCTTATGATTTTTAAAATGAAATCTCAAAAATGTTTCTTCATTCCCTGCATAAATTTAAAATCTTTCTAAACCCTAAAGCAGATATACATTTACACAATTTTTTCCCCTTTCAGTACATCCTGCTTTTTTATTAGTTTTAGAATTTGCAGCTGTCAGTGATAATGAGAAGCTGAAATTGGACTTGACTACTTCACAACTTGTTTCTCATCTGTCAGATATGCTTTCATGTAAAGCAGCATCCTAATTAGAGCCACCTCAAAGAGTGACCTAAAAATATATTCTAAAGTGATAGAGATGATAGATGCTTATCATAAACTGCAGTTTCATTTTATTGTATCTGGGTCTGTCAGTCATATAGAGCCTCTAAAGACCAGTTAAAACTAAGAGAACTGTACAGGTTTTAGGTTGGTCTCTGTGGAATATAATGTTTATATAGAGTTAAGAGAAAAATTAAAGTGGGAAAACATTAAAAGTGAGAGTGAAAGAGGGCAAAAGGGAAAATAATTGAAGGCTGAGAGAGAGGAAGACTGGCAGAGTGAAAGAGAGAGGGAAAGATGTGCCTCCGCATTGGTGATTCATTTGTTTTGTGTTTGTGCCTGCCTGTGTGGGAGTGTTGGGGGTTATAGGTGCCAAGCTGCTCGGTTTTTGCTTATATCCACCTACAGCAGAAATGCCAATAATAACTTCATTTTGACAAATTCTCTTGAGGTAACAGTGCTTTCTGAATATTCCTCAGGACTGCTCTGTGTATGAAACAGAAAACAAGATCCTGAATGTGGTGAGTTTGAAATGTTGTTCTATCGAAGAAATAATTAAACTAATATGTGCAAGCCTGAAGATTGTATTTATCCCTAACGTGTCCTCCGCAGTGTAAAACACTGTCTGAAGTGTGCGACCAAATTATCTCGCTCTCCTCGGATCCCATGGTATCCCAGTCTGCACATTTGGAGGTTGTGCAGCTCGCCAACATAAAATCCACTGAAGGCTTGGTAAGAGTGACCCTCCCTCAGACTCTCAGTATCACACCAGTTTTGGGGAAAGGGGTTCGGTTTTAATTATCCAGCTCAGATTTTGTATCTCACTTTTTCAAGACTTATGAAAACCATGAACAGATGAACTAATTCCTGGCTTTAATCTAGATTTGAAAGAACTTTTTTAAAGGATTTTTTTGGTGTAGCTTCAGAAACCCAGCAGAAACATTCATGCTGCTTTATTATAAACTAATAATAAGTACGTAATAAATTCTTATTAGTTTGAAAAGATACTATAATAAGTCAACAAATAAATGACACATTTTATGTAGACTACATAGCCACATAGCTGATTAACTAATAATTACAGGAAAGGCAGAAATTTGTAGGTATTTCTTAGGAGTGGTTCATCTATCACACAGTAATCCCAGGCATACACACCTTGTACTTCACTATACGTAACAAGGCGTACATAACAAATACACATAACAAGTATTTGAATATACTTTTCACAAACTTGAAACATACTTAAAATATCAAGATGTTAAATTGTTTTTCAGGTTTGATGAACACAGGGAAAAGCCAAAAAAGTAAAGTACAAAACTTACTAATGTGAATCGTACTAATGACGATTAAACAGCATGACAGAGTATTTTGTTTTATACAAATATGGCATGTGCAAATTCTCTTAAGCGTTTCTCTTACTCACTGCGAACATATTTCTGCTCAAGCCCAGTACTAACTTTGCCTGATTTTCCAGTTAAAGTTTTTATAAATACAGTTTTCTAATGGAACAGCACACACTTACTTTTTGAAGCATACAGAGGCTATTTTCATTAAAGGCTTGGTCAAGCTGTATATATATTTGGTTATCTGTACATACCTGTAGAGGCATCAAGAAGTAGGCATACAATTTTTCTTTTGATTACTTTTTTTGGTCATATCTATCTCTGGAATTTCAACTTGGGGATAATAATGTCATGTCAAGTTTTCTGGGAATGACCAAAATTGCATTTCAAAGCAAACAGAACATCTGAAATATGGATTGTAGATTTTAAACCTTGCGTGCTGCTTTTCAGCACGATATCTAATGTAACTCACATTAGCTGACCCCAAACTAGGTTTTGCTGAGCTGGTGGGCATGTGAGTCAGTGGATAAAATGTAATATAAAAACAACATATTGGCCATATTCAGATGAGTGAAATGCAAGCAAATAGAATACAGCAACCGGCAATTCTGTTAGCACTTACTTTTAGGATTGTATATAACTGTTTAGAAGCAGAGAATACTTTTCTTGCACTGTATATAAACGCTCCCCTTTGTTGGACTCCATCTTTGCACTGACCTACACTCGGGCACAAGCTCTTTGCTTGGGGCCACAGTGAAAGCCCCACCCCCCACACATAAACGCTAGCATTGGGCATGGAAGTTCTTTCATCCGTTCAGTGAAACCTGAACACAACAGTGGGTCAAGTAGCCTAAAAATAAACCTCTTCCACTCATCTTGAAGACTGGCATGCTGCTTCTACGTTTCTGCGTGTGACTCGGTGTGTGTGTGTGTGTGTGTCACATAGTTATGCATGTATTTTCATGCATATCTGTGTGTAAATAGTTGTGTGTTTGTTTGTCTTGTACTTTTGACCCCTTTTAGTGAAAGCCTTGAAGGTTTTTTTTTTCTTTTTGCAGCACCAGACTAAAAGTATTTGCAGATAAACAATCATTTATCTTTAATTTAATCTGCTTGCGAGGGACTCGTTACATGACATAAGTTTGCAGAGTGTTCTGTGCATTTAAAGAAAGTGCACCCGTGTGATATTTTATGACTTTCCTCTAGTTGTTTAAGACTACTGAGACAAATTGATGTGTATAAAAGCACTTTCCCTCTCAGGCTTTCACTGAGTAAAAACCCAGATTTTCTACCAGTTTTGCACCACAAGCAGATTAAAACAAATGGAGATTTGCAAATATGGAGTAGTCTGTACTGCAAATGACTGCGGGGCTGAGCTGAGGTGCAGATGATGCTGACTCCTAATACTGTGCTTTACAAGGCAGTCATTTACATATCTGCTATATTCCCACAGGGCATGTATATCAAATCAACATATGATGGTTTGCATGTGATCACCGGCACCACAGAGGGAGTAAGTGCAAATGTCTTTCTGCTCACCTTTGCAGAGTTTCACCTCACTGTTCGTTCACTATTTATACTTTACTTGAATCAGAGCTGCTTTTAATGACTCGGTCTCTCTGTTTTTCCATCAGTCACTGGCTGACCGCTGCAAGAAAATCCATGCTGGAGATGAAGTCATTCAGGTCAATCATCAGACAGTGGTATGGTCGTGTTCTTTCTCTGCCTTATTATTATGTTGTTTTTAAAAGAAAATTGGTGTTATTTGAATTTGCATGTTATTTGCATTGCATTTGCAGATTATTTATGCAAATGTTTGTTTAATTTTGACATATTTTTTACATACATAAAGAAATTATGAATGCATGCTGTTGTTTTATACACTCCTGCAGTTCAGTGCTTTTATGAGCCACTGCAGCTCAACTGTTATTGTCTAGGATACTGGCTGTAGTGTCTCTTGTAGTAGTTTTTGAGGGCCATCACGGGGTCAGTTGGATTTTCTGTTAAAAGCAGATCAAGAGGTACCTGCTTCAAAAAGGTAACTCTTGCTAGCGAGAGTTCTGTTTTCGTTCCTAGAAACTAGTGGTACACACACATTGTTTTTCTTGATAATTAGACGATTCTTGCTAGTTGCGATGCACCTGAACGCAACTACCAAATTTTAGCCTTCTTCTTCTTCTTTTTTTAAATAGATAGCAGAAAAGAACTGAAAAGCAGATGGGAAATGGAAATAATAAAGTGTATAATCCAGGCTCAAAGTGGGGATGTTGCTGTTCATTCTTTTTATTTCAATACATGGCTTTTTGACCTCAAATTGTTCTCAGCTGTCCCCAGATTCAGCATGAGCACTTATCAGCCAAAGTAATTGCCATTGTTTCTGTCAGTGAGAGGCATAACTGCACAAAATGTCTGTTTCTGCAGCGTGCACAGCATGATGAGCAGAAATGAAAGGGAAAAAACTTTCAACTTTCACTTTTCCGTAGAGTGGAATTTAAATATAGCACCCATTGTTTAAAATAATTGCTACTTGTGTGTGCAACAGCGAGATTTATGATAATTACACAGCTCAAGTCAGATTCATTTCAGTCAGTCAAGTCACCCACTGAATGCAGCCATGTTTTGGAGAAAAAGTGGAAATGCAGAGTTGATTTTCATTTTACCGAAGCATGCGTCAGTCAGAGTCATGCTCCTCATGGGGCACCAAAGGAAAATGCAATGTATTCAAACAAAACTTCTACGGAAGCTATTTTAGCCTGTCATAGTAATGTAAATATTAGCATTACATAAGCCCAACACAGAAACAGCTAATTGAAATAGGGCCTTGAAGTATAGTATAAATGATTTGAGTGATTTTGCAGACTGATTTGCAAGACATTCTCAGCTCTTTCTAAACAACACGATTATGATGTATTGGTTGCCCGAAATTAGTATGTGGGGTAGGACTGAGTAATAGGTGTTCTCAAACAGAGGATGGACTCTTGCAGCAGCCTAAGTAGGCAATACATTACTGCAGTAGAGTTACATGCTGAGCTAAAACTCCACTGTTACTCATAAACGTTGCTTAAACCAGCTTAAACATTGTTAATGCATTTAATTTATTATGGCACAGTGTAGAGCAACTTAATTACGGCTGATTGTTCACAAACGTTCCTTTGAGGGTTTAGAGAAACTGCATTGAACTAGATTTGTCTGTGATGGCCCAGATTACTGCCACCATCTCTTCTTACAGGAAAATGAGATAACAAGTCATAAAGAAAAGTTGTTAAATATCTTAATACTCAAGGACGAAAACACCACCAAGTGAAAAAAAACAAGGCATCTTATAAATAGTTGAGGGATTTATAATTAAGGCAGTAGGGAGTACTCCAGCAAAAAGACACAGAGCAGAGTTCACTGGATCTGAGCATCTTTTTTCATAAGAAGTGGATGTAGAAATGGCAGCTAAAGCAAACGAGTTACATCAAAGGAAACGAATGAAGAAAAAAAATGCTCTGCCTTGTGATTAACTTGAAAACATGTAGAAAGACCTAAGGGTTTGCTAATTTGTAGGTTATTTTGGTGGTGTTGTGCACACAGAAGTAAATAACTCGTGACAACAGTGATAGAGTCTGGTGCAGGAATGGCCATTAAATGAAAAGCTTCAAACACATAAAATATCACATATACTATGGTACATTTTAACGCTCACGAGTTTTATCTGAATTTCCAGTGAGATGAAACAAAAGGAAGAAACCAATGACTTGATGTTGTATAAGAAACACTTTAAAGCAGAACATTTCTTTACCAAGTAAACAGCTTAAAAAGCTGAAAATCAGGGATTTACTGCTTTAAATAAACACTTTTTTTTCTTCACACAGAAGAACATTTTTTTCTCTACCATAGAATAAAGAATAAAAGAAAAGTGTCTGTCTGTCTGCCTGTTCAGTCAGTCTATGTCTTTAATGCACTTTCTGTGAAGAATTTCTGTGTAGTGGCTGTAAGGGTGAAAAATTACTTGGCAAGGAACAAAGTGATTGCCAGGTCAGAGGCTGAAAAATGTCTGGTACTTCAGGGTGCTTGAAATACACAAGACATACTGAAAATTCAGTGCGGTTGACCGAGCGGGGGAATTTTTTATTTTCCTCCCCAAACTGGACCTGGCATATTTGGTTCAGCAGCAGAGAGTGTTTCTCTGGGCGGGATGCTATTCGTGCCAAATATCATTAAAACTGGGTTAAAGAGTATTTACATGGCATGCAGCTGTTCACAACACACAACATCAGGCTGTACCACAACATGGCAGGAGGCGTGCAAGATGCCCTGAGGCATCCAGCTTTGCATTAAACATCATCATCAACATGAACCTCAGAGGGCTGCAGGCTGTGCTACAGTTGTCAACCATCAGGATCCATGTGCATTACCAAAATAACAAAGTAACAGCACCTCAAATAAAACAGCTCGCATTTTCTGGTCAGAATCAGAATCAGAATCAGAAT